GAAAAATTGAAGGGGGTCTGAATACTTTCCGTACCCACTGTATATTTAATCTTAAATTTAAATATTAAACAGGATTAACAATTTATTTAATATCTAATGTACTAATCTTTAATATTTGTATTTTTATAAATAAAAATAATATTTAATATTAAATCGAATTATTGATATTTAATATATATATATATCTTTTTTATATTAATATTATCTGGATGGTCTCAAACGCTCTGCTGATGTTTCTCGGGTTGTGTGATTCTCATTAATTCTTGTGGTTGATGTTCAGCTGTGGTTTGTGTCTGTGTTGATCAGGTAAAGTCCACGGATCTCTGGCTCGTGCCGGTAAAGTAAGAGGACAGACACCCAAAGTAAGTCATTTATTTAAATGCGTTTCCTATAGTCTCTATGACAGAAGTGTTGCTGATGGGCTGTGGTTCTGTCTGTCTGTAGGTGGACAAACAGGAGAAGAAGAAGAAGAAGACGGGCCGCGCCAAGCGTCGCATCCAGTACAACCGGCGCTTCGTGAACGTGGTTCCCACCTTCGGCAAGAAGAAGGGCCCCAACGCCAACTCCTAAACCAGTCCAAACTCAAGAGACATGCATTCATAATAAACATTCTCTCTGAACTCGAGCTGGTCTGCTTCGATTATTCCACATAGCTAACATGCTAAATATGATCTATGAGTCTATGGAAAACAAATGAGTTAAATTAAATGCTGGTCAGATCTTTTCTTCTTCTTCCTGTATTTTATAATGAAAAACCAAACCAAAAAGAATCATGTAATTTAATATTAACCACCAAACTTGCATTTTATAGCTGTGTGATACTTGCATGAGTATGAAATATCCATTATAGTTATCAAATATATTTTGATAGGTTTAAAGTTATATAAAATATTTTGTAAGTATACAATGAATACTCTCGCTTTCTACATGCATCTATGAAAAATATATAGTGCCATAAAAGTGTGCTTTTATAATTTATTTAAAAATTGTAATAAACTTTTTATGTATTCCATTTATGTATAATACAGCTAATTCCTTATATATTTAAATTGTACAAATTTTTTCAGAGATGTATTTTCATAAATGTGTCCCTGCAGCACAAAAGCAGTAAGTCAAGTCGCTGGGGTATATTTGTAGCAATAGCCAACAATACATTGTATGGGTCAAAATTATAGATTTTTCTTTTATGCCAAAAATCATTAGGATATTAAGCAAAGATCATGTTCCATGAAGATATTTTGTAAATGTCTTACCGTAAATATATAAAAACTTGATGTTTGATTAGTAATATGCATTGCTAAGAACTTCATTTGAACAACTTTAAAGATGATTTTCTCAATATTTAGATTTTTTTGCACCCTCAGATTCCAGATTTTCAAATAGTTGTATCTCAGCCAAATATTGTCCGATCCTAACAAACCATACATCAATGGAAAGCTTATTTATTCAGATATTTCACAAAATTGACCCTTATGACTGGTTTTGTGCTCCAGAGTCACATATTTTCTAATCTCTATCTACATGTCTATATCTATAGATGGATAATAATACAATGTGACATTTTAAATAAATAGTTGCATGTACACAGCTGTTGCTATAGAGATGTGTGTGTAACAACAACAAGACATTGATCAAGGTTTGTTTTTTATTGGAACTTTACAATCATGCAAAACCAGTCAGAAAAGTTTTCCCGTCAGACTGAAGAACAACGTCTCCATCATCTCCTCAACACACTCGCGATGCTTCATCAATCAATCGATGGAGACGAGCTCCACCTCAAAGATCAGCTTGGCGTTCGGCGGGATTCTGATGATGAAGGTTAAGAACTCATTCATCTGTGATCTGCACAACATCAAACACTGAGCGGAAGAGTGAAGGATACTTGGAGTCGGGAAGACCTTTCCTCCCATACGCCCATTCAGCCTCGATCTCCAGCCGCGCCGTCTCGCCTTTACTCATCCTCAGCAGCCCTTCATCCCACTGCACACACAACTCACACTTTACTACAACACCATACTCATCCTCAGCAGCCCTTCATCCCACTGCACACACAACTCACACTTTACTACAACACACCATACTCATCCTCAGCAGCCCTTAATCCCACTGCGCACACAACTCACTTTACTACAACACACCATACTCATCCTCAGCAGCCCTTCATCCCACTGCGCACAAAACTCGCACTTTACTATACAACACCATACTCATCCTCAGCAGCCCTTCATCCCACTGCACAAACAACTCACACACTTTACAACAACACACCATACTCATCCTCAGCAGCACTTCATCCCACTGCGCACACAACTCACACTTTACTACAACACCATACTCATCCTCAGCAGCCCTTCATCCCACTGCACACACAACTCACACTTTACTACAACACCATACTCATCCTCAGCAGCCCTTCATCCCACTGCACACACAACTCACACTTTACTACAACACCATACTCATCCTCAGCAGCCCTTCATCCCACTGCACACACAACTCACACTTTACTACAACACCATACTCATCCTCAGCAGCCCTTCATCCCACTGCGCACAAAACTCGCACTTTACTACAACACACCATACTCATCCTCAGCAGCCCTTCATCCCACTGCGCACAAAACTCGCACTTTACTACAACACACCATACTCATCCTCAGCAGCCCTTCATCCCACTGCGCACAAAACTCGCACTTTACTACAACACACCATACTCATCCTCAGCAGCCCTTCATCCCACTGCGCACACAACTCACACTTTACTACAACACACCATACTCATCCTCAGCAGCCCTTCATCCCACTGCGCATACAACTCACACTTTACTACAACACACCATACTCATCCTCAGCAGCCCTTCATCCCACTGCGC